ATTGATTTAAATAAAAATTAATTTAAAAATTATTAATTAAAACCTGATTTATGTATTATTAAAGTTGATTTTGGATTTATGAAAATGGTAACTTAATAACCCGTGAGGCTGTAATTTCGCGGGGACATATCGCTCGAGCCAAAGGTCTGTCGTTCGAGCGAAGCCGGGGCGATAAGCGAGCGTCAATAGTTCTGTTTCTGTCACTCGAGTGATGGCCAGGCGTGAGGCTAGCGAAATTTCGGCGCCGCTTCTTCCTTGTTTCCAAACTCAAGCTCAAACCCTAGGCAATCTAACTCAACTATACAAAATTGCACTTCACGCCTTGACTTTTACACATGTTCAATTAAGTTTTTTTTGTTCACAGAATTGTCAATTACAATATTGAACCTAACAATTAGTTTGTGGTTTTGGATTATTGTTAGCCTATTAACTTAGCCCATTTACCTTGTTATTTAGTTGGCCCAATCAATTGGTTCTTTGGCCCAATTATATGTGATCTAATCAATTTATATATATTTTCATCCCTCCCAAAAACGTTGTGTGGCGTAATTGAGTGTGAAGAAAGAGGGGTAGCCATTCTTGGTGGTATTGAGTGAAACCATTGCTTCTTTCTCCTCTTCCTTCCTTTGTGGTTAATTGCATCCACCATTATATTGAGTGAAACCATTGCTTCTTTCTCCTCTTCCTTCCTTTGTGGTTAATTGTATCCACCATTATTAATCCTTTGTGGGTTAATACAAGAGTCAATGAACACCGTTGGCCCACATCGTCAATTGAGTCTAGCCTTGGTGTATGTGGTGATCGTTTTGGTTGTTTCTGAGCCTGAATTTCTTGGTTGAGTGAGCCCAATATCTAACAATTATTTTGTGTATTTTCTTGGAAAATCTGTGTTTACGTTTTCTTGGAGTATTTGATTAATTATTACTGGTGAGGTAACAAAATGCATTCGTGTATTCATGTGTTCAGTATTGTATTCGCACAAGTATTTATTGTGAAATTGTTCGACACTGATTAGGCTCGCCCCAACATAAGATTCGTTTGCTACGAATTGAAGATTGTAAGAAACTAAGGGTGCTTCAGATGGATTAACGTTTTATTACCACCACAGAGAGATCCAATACATGCATAAAGTTTTTCAAAGCAGATTTCAAGTTTATATCAAAAGCTGCCTGTTCTATTATCATTTTCCTCAACTACAGCAAATGACGTACCTCATATAAAAATGTGTAACATATACTAGAATTTCAATAGACGGCCCTGTATGCTGTAGCAGCTCATGTACATAGCTAGCCGATTCTAGCCAATCGTGCTGCAAAAAGGCCTGGAATAATTTGCTTACAGGCTGGTTCTGGTTTTACAGTGGTTAGACCAAGCCCAATCCACCACAGCTCTCAACGGCCCTTCTCAAGGGAAGCAGGATCGTGATGGGCCTTCTGTATTATAAATTTCTTTTGGCCCATGGGCAGGGCCACGCCACCACCATAGCGATTTTGCTAACAGAACATTCTCTTTAAAATAAATCAGACCAGGCAAGGTCGAAGGAAAATTTAATGTGCACAAGAATAAAAGAACCCAATCCAAATCTTATCGCCCATCAGATAAGCATACAATATAATGTGTCTGCATATTCTTTGAAGTACAATATAAGATATAATGCCACTCTTATTCGCAAACCCACACAGCAATATACTTGCATACAATGTGTAAGGGACAGTTACTCTGGTTTGAATTGCTTCAATGATTTTGGTTCTCTTTCTTTCTTGTTCTTGATACCATATGCTCAGATAGCTGCCCAAGAAAAGAAACAACTGAACATCATGTATGCTAAAATCCGAGTTATTATATTATGATTTTTTTTTTAAATCCGAGTTACTATACGAAATTGTTATTATGATAACCCTAATGACTGGTCGCAATGTTCTTTTACCATAATAGATGAAAAAACTCGAGGAGGAAAATATTAGTAAACAATATAGTTTCAGATCTCTTTCCATCGATACCAAACCCACAGGCATAGTGGTTTGATTTCTTCAACATTATATCCATCAAGATTCTTATTCTCATGCTTTTTCTATAAACTACACCTGTAGCCTGGTAACTTAGGAAGGCATCAGCAACAAGAATGAAATCAATTAGAGAAAAGTGAAACTGTAACAAGTCTACAAGGACGAAGTCCACTACATGTGATGTTAAAGGATAAATCTCACATCAGTTAAAACGCCAAAATATAGACCAACATATAAGGATTGGGTTACTCGACTTAACAAGATTAATATTTTAAAATGAAATCCAAATTTTAATAAGGGAAGAATACATAAATCCTGCTTTTACTTATATACATTTCAAAATTAAGGTTAGATATTTTAAATTTCAAAAATCAG